CAAGCGAACCTTCGATAAAATTGTATAAGACAGGTCGTCTTTTGTAGTCTAAGCGCAGAGACTTAGGAATCACACATTTGCGCAATTTGTATTGCCAACTGGCGAAGGAAGCTAGGATTGTAAGGTTAATAGAAATTACTTTTTCATTTGAGCGAAGCGCTGGAAATAAGGTACTCACACGCATAAGAACGGCATTGGTTTAAACTAAATATAATATATATGGTGGTCAGGATTATGCTTGGCTGAATGAAGGCAAATGGGTTCGAAACAGTTCTGTATCATGTAACCCCCAAACGCTGTCATCCCTCTCTGTTACAGTGACTTGACCGGCATTGGCCTGAAAGGTGGTCACCTGTTTGAGGCACCCAGCCACCTACACGATTTTGGTAAATTCGGGAAGCCTAGTGGACCAGTGATCGCCCATTCCTTTGTGAGTACATACACGGTCTGGCCAGATTCATTAGCCAGTTCTCGCATAGTTCATTCCGAAAACATGTGTGGTGTAACTCGATGGCATCCTCGTTCCTGCGAAGGACGATGAAAATCATTATATTCTCGAAATCTGTGTATGTTTTTCGACAGCCTAAAGCTGTCTCGAATCGGAAGAACATGTGTATCTACGAGAAAAGGGCAAGTCCTTTAGGGCATGTCAAATCCGCATCGCTGAATAAGACTGATACGGATAGGTTAAATGAGGCCGCGAGTGACTAAAGCCAAGCTATGCGACTGATGCCAGAAGGCCCTTTTCCGGGCCTCGCTTCCTATTACAGGAAGTTCTTCAAAGACTGTGCCCACGTAGCCATGCCCCCCAACTAGGTCACCCAAAAAGGAGTGAGGCTAAGTGGATGCCGGATTGAAAGGCAAGCTTCAAAACTCAACGGCAGTCCTAAACCGAGCCATATCCCCCCCCTACCCTGACCTCAACAAGTAGGCCAGGGTTTTCAATCTAGACAGAGGGGCTAGCGAATATTCCGGCAAGCTGCCAACACCAAATGCGGTATTCGGTCAGGAATTGTGCGTGTGTTTATGCGCCTACCGGCCTGCTCT